CTTCCTGTCAAATGACCAATTATTCTATTCACAGTAACAGAAAGCCAAGTGATTTGTTTATTATATTTGTTTTGGTTCAGGGTCATGGGAGGCCAGATGGATTTTTTGTCCAGGGACCCATGGTGGCTTTAAGGGCTATCAGACTACCATTCCCACAGTAAGAAATGTGATGCTAGAAATTTCTCCAAAAACTTTAGCTTTGTTTTTTATATTACAGAAAGCAGTGCATTTTTGGTAGAATGCAGAGAATCGGTGAGAATGGAGAACACAAGGGAAAATCTTTCAGGCCAGGTGTTTACATATATGTACAGTATTTATTTGCAAATCCAGTAACATTTTCTGGGTTATGTTTTATTAAACAAACATGTAAGACCCAGGTTTTCATCCACACTTTGTCATGGAAGACAGATATTTCTTTGGTGAATTTGGGCCACTCACCCAAGCTTAGCCTAACCTACATCCTAGAATTGTTAAGAACATAAGAACATAAGAGATGCCAATGTTGGATCAGGCCAAAGGCCCATCCAGTCCAACACTCTGTATCACACAGTGGCCAGAAATACCAGTGCCATCAGGAGGTCCACCAGTGGGGCCAGGACACTAGAAGCCCTCCCACTGTTGACCCCCCCCAAGCATCAAGATGACAGAGCATCACTTGCCCCAGAGTCCCTATCTATACCTTGTGGCTAATAGCCACTGATGGACCTCTGCTCCATATGCTTATCTAATTCCCTTTTGAAGCCGTCCATGCTTCTAGCCGCCACCACTTCCTGTGGCAGTGAATTCCAAGTGTTAATCACTCTTTGGGTGAAGAAGTACTTCCTCTTATCCGTTCTAACCCGACCGCTCAGCAATTTCATGGAGTGCCCACGAGTTCTTGTATTGTGAGAAAGGGAGAAAAGTACCTCTTTCTCTACCTGCTCTTTCCCATGCATAATCTTATAAACCTCAATCATGTCACCTCTCAGTCGTCGTTTCTCCAAGCTAAAGAGCCCTAAGCGCCTTAACCTTTCCTTATAGGGAAAGTGTTCCAACCCCTTTATCATTCGAGTTGCCCTTTTCTGCACTTTTTCCAAAGCTATAATATCCTTTTTAAGGTGTGGTGACCAGAATTGCACACAGTATTCCAAATGAGGTTGCACTATTGATTTATATAGGGGCATTATCAGGAGGTTCAAGAGTGTATCGAATGTATCCTGTGCAAGCTAGAGACATCATATTTGCTGGGGACCTCCCCCACACACTTCTCTATGTGCCCTCTAAGTTCTACCCCCGCCGTTGCTTTGAAGTTTCGTAAACATCTAGATTGAGCGTAGACCGTTTTGAAACGTGTCCATTCACAAACCAGCGCAAACTGCCATGAACCACTAGAAAGTTTTGGAAAGTTCAAGCTGGCTGACCTGCTCACTCTCTGTTTTCTATTAATTAGCCAGGTTTTGATCCATAAAAGGACTTGTCCTTTTATCCCATGATTTTTGAGCTTACTTAGGAGCCTTTGATGAGGAACTTTATCAAAAGCTTTCTGGAAGTCAAGGTAAACAATATCTATTGGATCCCCCTTGTCCACATGTTTGTTCACCCCCTCAAAGAACATTAGCAGGTTTGTGAGACAAGATCTTCCCTTACAGAACCCATGCTGAGTCTGCCTCAATAGGTTTTGTTCATCTATGTGCCTACTAATTCTTTCCTTAATAATGGTTTCCACCAATTTACCAGGTATCGACGTGAGACTGACTGGCCTGTAATTTCCCGGATCTCCTCTGGAACCCTTTTTAAAGATGGGGGTGACATTTGCTACCTTCCAGTCCTCAGGAATGGAGGCAGATTTTAAGGAAAGATTACATATTTTTGTCAGGAGATCCACAAGTTCACATTTGAGTTCTTTCAGAACTCTCGGATGTATGCCATCTGGGCCTGGTGATTTATCAGTTTTTGAGTTGTCTATCAGTTTTAGGACCTCCTCTCTCGTCACCTCAATCTGACTCAGGTCTTTCAACACCCCTCCCGAACTCAGCAGTTCTGGAGTTGTGAGGATAAAATGGAGGAGAGAACAATGTAAGCCACTTTGGGTCCCCATTGGGGAGAAAGGCGTGATATAAATGAAATAAACAAAAATAAAATAAAATAAATGACAGGTTTGGAGCATAGCTGGATATTACAGGTATATTTTTAGCTGAATACTACAGGTATCTTCTCTTTACTAAATCTACCATATCATCACCACCCCAGATGATGGTTTACTTTTTCCAAATGGTATAGTTGTTTCACTAAAGTTATAACTATCTAGCATCTGAGGTATTTAAGATTTGTTTCACTTTTGCACCTTTTCAAAGGATGATTGATTGCGTGACTAAAGCTCAACTATATTGTTATCATCAGACAAGCAACATTAATTTCTGTCATATGAACTATTATAATTTTATAATATTTTTACCCAGGTTGAGTTTGTCACATGATAGCATAAGATAAATTAAGAAGCCTAATGGAAGTGTCTAGAAAAGACTGCTCTGAAAATGGGTAATATAAATGGGATAAAATTAATCTTTTTAATCATTCCTTGAGGAAGGTCACTGAACTCTTAACTTAAAGGTCACAGGGAAGACAAATTGCCTGAAAAAGAGCAGTTTTTAAAAGACTTCATTTAGGTTCTCTCTACACACTGGGAAAAACAAAAATTGTAATTCTAAATTCATATACCAGCTCTACAGTATTTCTTCTCATCTAAAATTAATTTATTTTACAAGAAGACCCAAGAAAACTTTAGCCAAATATGCAAACAAACAACCCAATCCAGTGACACTAATCTCTGTGGAATAGCAGGCATCTAAATATAGATCTTCAATTTACAGCAGAGACATGAGTCTATAGTAAAGCTAAGCAGTCTGCGTTTAAAAGGATTAAAGGGCTTATTTAAGGTTAGATGACACTTGCATTTCCATTAGTATAACAGGCATTATTTAGCATCTCAGAGAGATACACCATAAAGGTGCCATTTTGAAATGTAGTAGCATAATCTTTCCAATAGGAGTGTCAAACTGAAGCAGCTTCACCAGTTGCCTACAATCCACAGCCCTGACTTTTCACCACAAACATGTCAATTCCACCTGAAATGGACATTAAGCAATTCCACATCAATTATACATTAAAATGATAAACCCCATTCAGCCCATAATTCTGAAACAAAATAATTTGTAAACATTAAATTTGTATTTTCATGACTACATTCTTCGTTTTATTTTTTGGCTTTGCAATAGATATTTGATGTGGCCATAAAACTTAATTCCTGTTTCAATTTTCTATACCTGGAACAGTAATTTCAAAGGCCTTTCTTATCAGCTTTAAAAAGTTTCTCTGAGGGAGTACCCATATGTGCTTTTTACAAAGAGGGTAGAAGTGCAGGGGAAGATAAAGGAAAGCATGGCCTGCTTATTCACTCTGTCACCCGTTGCTTCTTCACACACCTCCAGTCAGCCAAGTGATGGAAGCTATGGGGTTTCTGTGGTGAACTAGTATGAAAATGTCTCTACTGTGCTGTGCTTCTGGGGGTTATACTTAAAACTTAATCCAGTTGAAAGCTTTTCCTTTACCAAGAGCTGATCTTATCAGGAAGAATATAGAGGCCCACCATCATTCATGATTGGTCTGTTTACTTGCAGTCATTGACATACAAGAGTTATGGCCTAGAGGGTAAAGGGCCTATTAGAGTGTGTTCATAGTTTCTTTTGCATTTTCTTTGGCCATTTGGGGAACAGTGTGAATGGTTGTGCTGCTGGTACCCTCATGGTTAGATTTCCCTGGCCAGATTTCGTTTATGAAGGATGTATGCTGAGCGGGCACAAACTCATCTTACTATACATCTGTTCAGGACTGGAGCTACCATATAAACCACCTCTTGAGGGTTGCCCAATGTGCACAATGGTTATATTCATCTCCATCTGGTTTTCACATACTAATTCTGTTTCACTGCAGTTCATGGACCTAAAATGATACGAATATATATTCACAGGTTTGTGTTTTGAGCAAGATATTAAATACTAGATCTGAAAGAGGTTCCCAACTTGGCTGTATAATACCATGCACATCAAATAGCTTGGACAGAGAGACATGTGGTAGGAACACTGTCAAAAGACAGTGGTGTATGGTCTTCCTGATGTTGTTGGAATGCAGGTGGGCAAGGGAAAAAAACCTCTGCAGAGGGAATGGCTTCAACCCCACCTTGGCAGTCTGATTTGGAGGATGCTATCAACAATTTCCAGGAGTGCAGATTATTTGGTCTTTACTGAACTGACCAGATTATCTGGTTTGATGTGTCAGTGGAGCCTTGGAGTCCTGGAAGGTCACAGAGAAAATTAAGAAGACATTTCAGGACTTTGTAGACTTTTACAGAGGACAGGTGATATTTCTTGATGTTCCTCATAAGCTCTGAGAGATGTACGGGACCACAGCAATCCACTCCACAGAGAAGGCATTAAATTTGAGTTGCTGCAGCTTCCACTGATTTGGCAAGTTAAGGCCGCTTTATTGGAGCATACTTCAAGAGGACTAAGTGGGGATGAGCTCCACTTGTACCTCCAAGAGAGTCTCCTTAAGGAGCAGTGGACTGGACACACAAACAAATCCACAGCAGAGACTGCCTTCCAACCACACCCCCAGTTGGTAGCAATGAATAGCATGTGCTATCCATGTGGCCTGCTGTTTCAGGTCTTTCTTCCTCTCCAGTATATCCAGCAGGTTTCCCCTATCAACACTGAGTTGTCAAAACATCCCTGCCTTCTTTAGACCAAATTCTTGTAAGCCACACAGAATAAACTTGCACCTTTTCCAATCCTGTTCAGGTGTATGTCTCCTGTCCTCACACTGCATCCTGCTCTGGGTACAAGATATGCATGTATCTCTCAAATGAAGTCAGCAGAGCATGTGGCATACTATTAACTAATATCTGAGCATCACATAATAATAGAATGCAACAATTGCAAGATGAAATACTGGCAGCATTTTACCTGTTCTTGTTGAAGGTCCTCTTGATATTTCTAAAGAACAAGGTTTCTTTGTAACTGCTGCATCTAGAAAATCACAGAGATCATTCTCATTTTCTGCAGAAAATGTTTCAGAAGAAGCAGATGGCACTGCTTCCAGTGTATAACTCCTCTTCTTTGGAAATGACTCCTAAAATATAGAAGAGCAACTATGTATTCAAGATGGCCTTATTGAAGATAGGAAAATTGGGAAGGAAATGTTAACAACTGAAATAAATGTAGTTTTAAAATCACTAGAGTAACGTTGTCTGTTTCATTTTCTAAAGTAATAGTAATTAACTTTAAAACAGACTTTTCCATCAAACAAGAAGCTTTTAAAAAGGAGGGTAGAAAAATCAGTAAGCTGCCCAGATATCATTTTCATCATCATGACAGCACACTGCTTCACAGAATTTCAAAGCAAGCAAACACGTCATGGAGCCAGGGAGCTAAGGAATCTATAATGTAAATTTTGACTATGTGAGAAAGAACAGAGGAAGGAGAAGGATACTGTATTCAAATCTTTATTGTTAATTTCATTATTTTCTATGTCCTTTCTAGATAGAAAGTGATTTTTTTCCAGTTTCATTGACAGCTTGTGAGGATTGGTATTACAGTTTTTATAAGCAGAACATAACATTACATTTTTATAAGCAGGACATGAGAAAATTGATATAAAACTTTTAAAAAGAAATCTGTTAGCTGTTGTCTTATGATTAAGTAAGTCACTTTCATTACATCCTTACTTTAGTCAATTAGAGATAATTCAGCCTTCAAATCTTTTTTAACCAGTTTGAAATGTCAGAGCTGTCCAAGGTTGTATGTAGAATAAAGATATGCACACGACTGCATATCAGTTACTTTGGCACTGATCAGTTGAAACTAATTCCAGTGTGGGTTTAGATAACAACAAATTCTAAAGTATACTCTGGAGACTGAAAGTATTACTATTAATAGTGTTCTAACAGTAATTAAAATAATTAACAACCGATCAGTATCTGCTACCTAAGACAAAATAAAAACAGTTATGAAGCCTATCACAGTTCACCACCACCAGCATCAAGATTACAAAAGTTCAGGGTCATCTGGCTGTGAAGCCCCTAAACTGAATTACATGTAAGTATATGTTCACATAACAGATCCCTCTCAATTCTCAGGCCCCACTCCCAATTCACAGCCCCACAAAAGGCACTCAAGGGTTGAAAACTCTCCAGAACATGGAATGTAGTGTGGGTTGTAGCTTGAAGGGAAATAGAAATTGACCCAATTATTATGCAAGGATATAGGGAGGGGATTTTCACTGCTCTCCCAGACTACATCCCACATTTTTCCCAAGAGAGGAGATTTTCATTGGAACAAGAGGTTGCAAGTAAGAGAACTGTTCTGGGCTCTGTTTTCATTCATGATTCAAAGGCTGCAACCCTGTACATTTGCTGCAAGTTTTTAATTATTCATTCATTCATTCATTCATTCATTCATTCATTCATTTATAGTCTGCCTTTCTCACTTGCACTCAAGGTGGATTACAACAGAGTGAGTCAATACAATTGACAGAATGGGACATAGAAAAAACAATGGAATAGGAATTAGGGTTGTAGCACCAGCCAGAAGTCTAAAAACAGAACTGAAGTGAAGCATAAGTATTAACATGACACATGATGATGCAAAAATTACATCGGGGAATCTCCATCGCCTGGAGGTTTCAGGCCCCCGGGAAGTGAAGTTGACCCAAACCAGGGCTAGGGCATTCTCGGTGGCAGCTCCCACCTGGTGGAATGAGTTCCCGGAGGAGATCCAGGCCCTGCGGGACCTAGTGCAGTTCCGCAGGGTCTGCAAGATGGAGCTCTTCCGCCAGGCCTTTGAGGGGGAGCCGCCGCCGCTACTATTCCACCAATGATATTCCAACCATCTACCCCACATAGTGGGGATAGATGTCGCCCAATAGAGCTGGGGAAACATTCTTCCTGGCGCTCCCACTGTGAAGAACTTGGCCGCCAGTGTAGGACGCCGCCCATCTTGGATTTTATGTAAATTATCAAAGCACCAAATTTTATGTCAAGATATAGTGTTTTTACTATGCTGTTGTTTGCATGCATATTTTAACTTCGGCATGGCCATTTGTTAGCCGCCCCGAGCTGTATATTGGATGGGGCGGGATATAAATCCCAAAAATAAATAAATAAATAAATAAATAGCAAGATCCTAGTTTCAGCATACTATGCACAATAGTATAGACCACAATCCCTAATAATTTATACAAGTAACTTTGTGAAACATTTAATACAATGCAACTCTGCATAGAGAGATGCTCTTTAATAATTCAGTTCTGCACACTTTGTGGAAAGCCGGGAGAGAGTATACGCTGATAACATCTGATTTATTTATTTATATGTATTTATGATTGCCATTTTTTGAATACTATGTTATTGCATTGTCTCAATGCATCTGTGTTTTAACATATTTTAACCACTGTAAACCACACTGAGCCTGCTACACGAGGAGGGCGGGATATACATTGAATAAAATAAATAAATAAATAAACTTTTCTGACCTCATCAGGCAGGACATTCCATAAAATGAGGGCCACAACAGAGACGGCACATGTATGGGCAAATGTCCAAGTCCATGAAGAGCTTTAGATGTGATAGCTAACACCTTAAATTGAGCCCAGTAACTGATGAGCAGCCAGTGAAGTGCCTCCAGGATGGGAATAACATTCATGCTCCATCTAGCTGCTGATAATATCGAGCCATGGCATTCTGCACCAACTGGAGTTTTTCAACTGATTTTGTTCCCCCTATCTTACTGTATACTGGAACCAATTCATCCTGTTCCCAGATGCTGCCACCTGATCTTTACCAGGTTCCCACCCTCATAAGCAAGTGTACAGGCATTAGAGCAGAATGAATCTTTCAAACACTTTGGATGATTTAATACATTTATTCCAGGTTACTCCCATCCTTCCCATTCTTCCCATTTCCAGCATATGTATATTAGCACTGCAAACAGTGGTGACATCCAGGTGTCATAACCAATGCTCCCTCTAAGCTGTGGAGTCTTGTGAGCAAAAATTCTTCTTTGTGAGCTATTGGCATTAAAGCTGTGAGTGATTTGGCTACTGCATAAATTAGTTTGCTCTGGAGCCACCCTTCCTGAGCTAACTCAAAAATGTGTGAGCTGGAGGCTGAAAAACTGTGAGCTAGCTCACACTGACTCAGCTTAGAGGGAACACTGGTCATAACTTGTCTATGACAGGCTTGTTGTCCTGCTCATGTTGTCCCCTTTCTCCTCCCCCACCTACATATTTCCCTTTGCACACCGAGCATGAGTGAAGGGTTCCTGTTTGGGAAACCTTAAGTCAATATTTCCCACCATGTCCAATACAGGTGCTTGGGCAATCTGGGACTTTTTTTCTTCCTCATGAACTTTGAATTCTAACTTGGGAATAAATTGAGGTTTGGAGGGTCACTTTATGTCCCTGCCCAGTGAGTTTGATTATTTTTTTTTTTAACTGTACAATTTACCCTAGTGAGTTTGATACATATTTGGACAAGCAGTGTAACGATTCCTTGTTTTTGTGTGTGTGTGTCTCTTTAAAAGTTTGGTTGCATGGCTGTGATAGATAGACTAGAGTGGTTGAGAGAGGCAAGTATGGTATGATTGGTGGTTGACAGAGAGGGGGAGGGGTTTTGGAAGTGAATCTGAGTGGATGAGTATGTGAGTCAGTCAAGAGTGACAGTTAGATGTTGACAGTTGAGTTCGGTGTTGAAGCAGTTAAGCTGACAGCTGAGGTGGTTCAGTGAAAAGGGAAAGAGATCTAAAAGCTGAATGTCTAGGAAAAAGTAAAGTTTAAGTGAAGAAAAGTTATAGGAAAGTCTGTGTCTCATAACAGACTGGAGTGAAACAGTAAACGTATATGGCATTGAGATAAACAAGTGTTACAAAGTTACATGAAAAGTTCCCTGTCAGAGAGAGAGAGAAGATTGTGTGTGATACCAAAGCTTTCTTTTCTATTCACCACACCTCAGAAGTCATACTCTTCTGGTGTTTATTTTGGACGTACATCATTGTATTAAAGTGGAGTTAAAGTGACTTTCCCATTTGGTAATATTTGGATTTTGCTGGTGAGAAATGGTGCTGTTGTATTGGTTTCAGTAGTTGTGAGATACCATATAAATAAGAGGGATTATTTTTACAGAACAAGTTTCTAATTTTTCATATTCAGAATTTTATTTTGCTCACATAAAGAACACCGCAGTTTAAATTATAATCACTGGTACAGATCAAAATGATAATATCTGACTCACTCTATTTATTTCTATTTACTAAAGAATGGATAATACTTCTACTCCCACACCAACCCAGTTCACCACATACCAACGCTTTTAAAAAGAAGACCGAGTAATGGAAACCAAATGAGTAGTAAATTGAAACAGCAAACTGCACATCAAATTGACTATGAACTAAATATTTTCTTGCTTTTTTATTTATTATTTTCCCACTTTAGATTTTGAGACTTGATTTCTTATTTGCTGTAGTTTCAATCTGCTATTGTGCTGCTATTTTCAAAAATATTTTTGAAGAACATGTAGCACACTTGGGGTTGCACGATAATAGAGACCTTCATAATAGATTTTCCAACACTGTAAACAGCTTTCAATCTTTCAGAAAGGTTATTACTTATTGTTGCTTTACTAGGAAACTTGATTGAATCCTGATTGTAGACTCTGGGTGACACTCTTCACCTTAAAACTGTCAGAAGAAAATATACTCTGCATCCTACTAGAAACTTCGGTCACTTTTGGTGTAATGGATGCAGAGAGTGTACAATCTCTGCAGCACCCTATCTAAACTTTTGTGTTGTAAATTAGGGAAGTGCACAATTATTTGCTCAATTTTTACTTAATTTTATTTTTTAAAACATTGATTTAGCTTCTTTAAAAACATTTAGTTTCATTTAATTTTGATTAGTTTCATTTAGTATTCATTTCAGTTAGTCAGCCTGGTTTGTGTTTCCATTGGTTTTAGTGGCAACACAGTTCTGGCAGTAGTTTACTCCTACAGTCAAATACTCCGGGGATTGTAGCCCTAACCCAAGGTATCATTCCCACTACATTTCAAACAGACAGGAGAAAGTGTCTCTGTATTATT